TGTGGGTTTGCAGGACTCCGTCATGCACACGGACATGGAGGATTTATTACCTACATTTCTTTACTTCATTGCCATTTACTACTATCAAAGTATAGTTATGATTGGCAAAACAAATATATCTATACTACAAATTACTACCAGAAAGCAAATATGTATTTCAATCAATATGAGTAGCAAATCTACATTTCAATATTACAAGTTACTATAGAATTATCACTAGTAAAGCAGCAAATATACTTACTAGTAATTACTTATACGTGTGCCTATACATAGATATATTCAAAAATATTACCGGTAGCAAGCGCTCATCAAACTGATCCCAGCAGTGGGGCCAATCAAACCCATCCCAGAAACGGGGCCACTCAACAACGGATGAGGTCTCGGTTGGATGCTGACCTGCGTCACGGAGCCTGGAGTCAGCCTGGTGTCCCTAGCGAGGGTCTGCTCTGCCCAGAAAATCTTGCAGGAAAAAGGGGTTTGTGTGGAGGAAAGAGGGTCCATTTGAGTAAAAAGTGAGTCCTTTTTATATCACAGAGACATAAAGAGGTGTAGGACACCACCACCCAGAGCAGCCAATAGATGCTGTGAATTCCTGTTTTTCCCCTGGCACAGCCAATAACTGGTGATGTTTTCCATTATCTCAGACCAATTTTTGTATTTCCAGACTGTTTTTCTGTTCTGTCAGCTAGAATAGCCAATGGCAGTTACCTCCGCTTACTTTCTCAGGATGTTTTCCCCCTTTCCCAGACTTTTTTTTCACCTTTCCAGATGATAACGTGCTATTACAGTTCCTTGTTTTTGCACTTATCTATGGTATCTAGGGCTGTGTCTGGTTTCTCAGCTCCCAGCTGCACTTCAAAGATGCCAGCTGTGCTCCTCAAGGATGCTTGTGGTTCCCAGGCTGGCCGGCGCTTTCTCCATCAGTATTTGAGCAGACATCTTCTTCTGTGCAATATTTTCTCCCCTATAACCAGGTCATCTTTATGGCTGCTCCCATCACCGGCCTAAAACGATACCTCTCAGCAAAGCAGAAATGATCATCTGCAGGAACGCTGCAAAATTTTCCTGTCTTAAGTAGTCCTGTTTGTGAAAGTATCTTTTGTATAGCTACTATTAGTTGTTCAGGAACAGATCAAAAGTGACAACACTAGCTTAGCTTCTCCTCCTGCAACACCTATTTGGCCTAGAGACAACCTATGACATACCATCACAGTTCTGCTCAGGAGACCATGCTGTAAGCAAGAACTTCTCAGTTACAGCCTTCCTTGGGCTCTTCTCCATGCTGGCCAGCCTTTACCTACAGCCCTGCATTTTTGCAGCCTCACTGTGAATAGCAAAAACTTATCAGAAAACGTTCAGAGGAGGACAGGAGTCACGCAGAAACAGAGAACCAAGACCGCAGATGAAGTCAAGAACCAAGACCGCGGATGAATTCAAGAACCAAGACCGCGGATGAAGTCAACCCAGACATGCAGGCAGGGTCACCAGTCCCAGCCTGCAAACGCCTGGCAAAAGGGTTTGAGGAAAACCCAAAGCTGGAGCAGGCACCAGGCTGAGTTTTAATTTGCTGTAGCATTCAAACATGAAGCTGTACTTGTCACCGTGGTACGACCAACCAAGAACCAAGAGTGATTACAAACAAAACATCCAGCCTGTCTAGCCCACAGTCCAGTTACAAGTCTTCCAAAACAGAACATTTGCCTGAGTCAGTGACCTCCAAAACTCAGATCTGGAAACAAACTTCCTCTGGGTGTTTCACATTCCTTTGGTCCTGTTCCCTAAACGCAATGTTTGTGTCACTTGCTAAAAAAATCCACAGCAACAGGCTTTCCAAATAAATTAAAAGGGAAGTGATTCAGTTATTTTTCTGGGATTACGTCTCAAATTTTTATAGAAAAAGCTTTGGAAACTATATTGTGACCTGTCAATTACTGGTTAATAAAGCAATGCTGATACAGTGACAAACAAATCATATTTTTAAGGACAAAAATGTTAACTTGGCCGCTTTTAATTCCGAGCTGGGTTTATCAAGATTTTGCAAGAATTTTAAGCCTGAGTAAAGCACCGTACTTATGCACAGTTATACCAATTAAAGTGCCCAGGCTGAGTTCCCTTGACACAGCACTCCTCATGCTAGACAGAGATAGCACAGCCTCAGCAAGATAGAGTGAACTTTACACACAAATATCAAAAGCTACATAACAATCCCTTAATGGTTCCAGCTTGTGCTGGTCTCTCATGCAGTCCCTGCTATGACTTGCTCAGAAATAGCAGCAAGTCAGCCCTCTTTATGCTGCCAGCACCGATGCTTGATCACAGTCCTATTTCACGATGAAAAAACGTGGTATCTTTTTATTCTGCTATAAACAATACTCCAGCGTGGATTAAGAATCCCAATTTCATGTAAATACCTACTTGGCAGATAATATAAATCATGTGATAACCCAGAAATTTAAATATAGCTTTATACCTCTACCCCAGACTCAATCAGATCAGAGAGTGAACTGCAAGACTTTCAGAGTCATATATTATGATGCAAATGAGTTTTGTAAATTGTGACCTAGTTCCCATGTTAGGAACAGTTGGGACCAACAGCAGGAACTATGTGATGAATGTGAGCAGTGGGGGCAGGCAAGGAAATTAACATTTGTTCTTAATTTGAAATGGATTTTTAATCACTTCCAGGTGCCCTAAAGAAAGTGCACACACTTGTTTACTATAATCATTCTGACAGAAGAATGCATATAGGAGGTAACACGTTTTTGTTTTACTAATTGAAATGTTTGGGACATTGGTGTCAAATGAAGCACCAGAATACAGCTCTTTCTGGATGATTTATTGAGTGCACAATGAAGGACTGGGAAATGAAGTTTTTCAATTGATATGTTCCTCAGGACTTGTTTTGTAAGGAAAACGCATTGCAAATATCCTCTAAAATGGACTGGGTATTAGATCACATCAATCTCTCCAAATGTAGTTACTATTTTTTCAGCTAGAGACCTGATAAACTAGCTCTCAGAAGACCCTGCTCAGGGATTTAGCTGCATAGATGTCAGCCACCTGCTTAACATGCTTTAGCATAGTTAGTGGAAAATATTGAACTCACAAAATTCTGCTTGCACTGTAACAGTGAGTCTACAACAACATACGGTGCTGAACTCCAGCCGGAGGCAGCTATCCGGTAAACTCTACTGTTCTAAACGAGGGCACCAGCAAGGGTGTAACCATTTGAAAACCAGACAGATTTTCGTCCTAAGCATATCTAGAGTTGGTATCATTATTGGAAACTATTAGCTGTAGAAGAGTTAGGGTGTCAACTATCCTGAAAAACAGAGTCTCAGCTCCCTCTGGTGGAAAAGTAATTTTCTGCAAAACAGTTTAAGTGAGAAAGACTTGTTTCTGCTACAGGCCTCAAGGCCACGAGATAATTAAGATGAGACAGTAAACAAATCCCAAATCCTCCATTCACTTAGGACTGGAACTTCTTAGAAGTTGATGTGAAACATCACGACTCCCACACTATTGCAGGGCAGTTGCACAAGACAACGCACTCAGCAATTTCCAGCTGTGGAAGGTGGCCAGGGGAGCCTTTACCTTTCCTGGATGAGTTCTCCAGATGTAAATTATGGTACATAAGATGACTCATCAAACAAGTGATAGTCCTGAGGAAAACAAAACACACACACACACACCCCCAAGTAAGTTCTCCTATTCTCTCCATTGTAAGCAACTTGTAAGCCCCATAAGATGACCCCTCCCCAAAGAGGGCCAAAGCACACTTCCAGGGCATGTGGAGCATGAAAGGGTAAGGTCATCACCCCCAACATGCCCAGACAGTGACGAAGTCTTTCAGTTGTACATTTCTGTGCTCTGTTGGCAGTAAGACTTCAATGTCACACATACAAGAAGCGTAAAGCAAAGCCCTCAGATCCAAGTCCGCGCATCTTGGTCTTAAGACATTGCGTAAATTAATCCAACCAAAAATAATAAAAAAGTCCTTTTGAACTTCAGCACAACTCAAAATTATTTCGAAAGGCTTAGTGACAAGTCCAGTACTAATGCCAAAAACCTCTTCTCACTAGATACAGATGTTCCTAGTCCACAGGTAAGCATATTAACAAAGACACCCAGCTTCCTTCTGCGTGCTTTGCATCAGCACAGAAATAGCAATAGTCTAGAACTGCATCACCATTTGTCCTTGCCTTCTTGAGAGCAATGAAGATTCAAGCCAATTTCCACCACATGTACACTACATTTATTTAAGGTTATTCCATCCTTTCTAATCCAAACCAATCATACAAGATATTTCTACTTCTTCATTGTGAAGAGTGGAAAGTAACTCCTGGAAGTATGCCAGCTACTGTCACAAAAAGTCAATAAACAGAAAGTACATTTCTGTTTCTCATGAGAGGCATCAACAGCTCCACTGTAATTAAGCACACAACTAGTTGCTCTGACAAATTCTTTGTAGCTCCTGTAGACAGAATCATGAGTAAATCCTGCAATCACAAACACACCAGAATGACTTTTTACTAATAATGGGGTTCTGAAAACAGTATTTCATACTGCCACAGAAGGAAGACTTATAGATCCAATGAAAGGAAAACAGTAGCAAAAACGTATTTATTAAAAAACACATTATTCGATTTCATAGTGAGGGATTAAGACCCATAGTTGCTCCTTGGAAACAGCAGAGATGAGTAATCCTTTGACAGTGGGACAGCAGGTCAGGTCTGCAGGTGAAGTTTATCGAGAACGGTTTCCACAGCCAGAAGAATTTGAAGGTGGGGAAAGGAACAGAAGCAACAACAACCAACCAAATACCCTTGGAGTGTTTCATGCAACATTTTTCAGCAGCGAAAGGCTATTAAGGCTGAAAACCGGTGTTGTGGTTTAGGTTTGAAGTTTTGGTTTCACGGATTCAAATATTAAAAAAAACAACCATGGCATGTACAACTTGATCTGTGTGTGTGCAATTAAAAATAATTTAGTAACTAATGGATTTTTCTTCAAAAGGGCAGTTTTCTACTGGCTGAAGTGTCTACGTGTTTAACTGGAACTCTCACAATGACTGCAGCTCCATCAGCTTTGCTTACTGACAAGGAAAGCAGCCTGCTTTTAATCTTCTGCATGAACACCAAGTCTGCTTACGTAGCTCTCCCAAGCTGCCTTCCTGTACTTCTCTGCTTCTTGAAGACGGTCTGAGGCTGACAAGATGCCACGTCCCACAATAATGATATCTGAACCTTTTTCACTAATAACTTCCTTGGGGCTTAGGTACTTCTGTCCAAGGTTATCACCTGAAACAGAGACACCATTTTTTTCAGTTCATACAAAACTTTATCTACTAAAAACCTTCAAAGAGGTGCTAGAACAGATAATCTTCTTTTCATCCAGGTGCTTTGAGATGACTCCCAGAACAAGCTGCTCCATCATCTTCCCAGGGATGGAGGTGAGGCTGACCGGCCTGTAGTTTCCCGGGTCATCCTTCCTGCCCTTTTTGAAGACTGGAGTGACATTGGCTATCCTCCAGTCCTCAGGCACCTCACCTGTCCTCCAGGACCTTTCAAAGATAATGGAGAGAGGCCCAGCAATGACTTCCCCCAGCTCCCTCAGCACACGAGGGTGCATCCCATCAGGCCCCATGGATTTATGTATATCCTTCGCCTTCTTAAAACAGGCACATCCACAAACATTCACATAAAAGCTTGTAATTTCACTTTAGGTTTCATTAGAATTAAGTATTGCAGAGAAACACATCTCCCCTGCCTGGTTCAGTGATAAACTGTTTGGTCAATGTAAGACTTCCAACTCACTGATACTGCATCCTTATCAGTATCAACAGTGTTACAGTTAGACCTCTGTATTTCTTTAAAATTTTTTTTTCTACTCCTACTGAGTAGTTGTACATTTAACCTAACACCTATCTGAAGACATTTCACACGTATCAAGGACTGTGCTTTATGGTATGCACAGACCTCAGCACATGAGCAAAGCTGCACAGCCTGCTAGTTGTCTTTCCGAGCTCCCAGGAAAGATCAGCATACCCAGAAATAGAGAAGGCAGCCCATAATGGCAAATACAGACTCCTCCCACCAGAGAAACGGCAAACAAACCCTCTTTAGAAGTCACTTTTTCACTGAAGACTAGATCACTTACTGTATTTACAAACAGACTATAAATATTCCAGAAAAAGTTACCTCCAGCTTGCAGCTGCACGCCCGGAGTTAAGTGAAGAAATTCTGGTTTATTACTAACTCTAGATCCAGATATGAATCCAAAAACGAAATCCAAGTTGTCTTCAGCCATCTGTACCTGAAGATCAGTAAACAGTTACAAACAGTTCCCTAAAATTAAGCTTGACTAGCAGTCCATTTCTCATCCACTCTTCGACACATTAAGCTGTGCAGGACAGGAGTACGAAACACCTGGTGTTGCTTTACCAATATAAAGTCACCCAGAGCTGACTCACCCCTCGCTGGTTGTGCTGCACTTGCAGCAGGAACATGAACATTATATTTCTTTCTATGTTATAAATAATACAATGAATGAACTTAAACTAATTGGAAATGTATTGCTTAAGGAAAAAAAAAAAAAGCAGGGGCGGGGGTGAGGGTAATAGCGAACTTGGCACATTTACTAGAATTGACAGTGCGAACTCCAGCCACCTTACACCACTAGCCTACAGCTGCAACCTTTAAACACCACACTGTCAGATTCCTGAGTCTCCACTGGAAAAAAGAAGCCCTGTTATAGTCAGAGCTGGACAGACTGTTGGAAGTGCAAATACTAGAAGCACACAAAACCTCCCTGTTACAACGCTTTACAAGCTGTTAACCTGAAACAAGACTGCCTACTTACTGCAGCTTTTGTATATTCACCAGTTGCAAGTGACCCTTGGGAACTCATCTCGGCAATCAGAAGACAGCCACGCTGGAGAGGAAGACCTACTGCCTTCAGACCTTTCACAACTCCAGAGCCTGGAACCACATGGGCATTAATGATGTCTGACCAGGATGCGATTTTGAACACACCACCTGAGAACATGGATAGCAAGACATAGACATACTGTTATTAGAAGTGTATTAAACAGGAAACACGAGTTAAACAAAACAAGCTGCAGGCTAAATCCTTCACATTTTAAAGGACAGTTTTACTACTGAAGCTTGACAGTTACAAGTTCAGTCTCATCAGACAGTCTAACCACAAAGCATTATCTCTCAGTTTTACTTTTCACAAACACTTCTTAGTATCTCACCTTTAAAATCTATTGAGGTGTTCATGGTAACCTAAAAATCTACTGTCACAGGTGCCACCTTTCAATACACCATGCAGATCATAAGGGACATATGCATCAGAAAAAAAAACAGTTCTACAGTTGCAGACGCAACATTGAATGAAAGCTGTAACGGGCACACAAGCACACAGTAGCAGGCCACCTTAAGAAGCCACGCTGCATTTTCTCACAGCAAACAACTACTCAGAGGTACTTACTGAGCACAACCACAGATTCATGAAAAGGTTTAGGTTGGAAGGGACCTCTGGAGGTCATGCCCTCTCAGCAGGGTTAACTTCAAAGTTAGATCAGGTTGCTCGGGGCCTTGTCCCCTTAAGTCTTCTCCAAGGCTGGAGATTCCACAATCTCTCCTGGCAACCTGTGCCAGCACTGCAGTTACACACACCAGCAGCAAAGTTACAGTAAATCGAGGTTGATGATAATCACCTTCATATTGATGTTTCACTGTGTTTCCAATGTCTGCAAACTTCCTGTCTTCAAAAATCAAGAATTCATGTTGATCTGCGAGCATTCTCAACTCCTTTACTACCTCTTGGGTAAAATCATTCAGGATGTCTATATGAGTCTTCAGGATACAAATGCTGGGGCCAAGGAGGGCAGCTAACTGCAGCAGCTCTTTGGAGCTTGTGACATCAGCAGAAAGGCACAAGTTCGTTTGCTTCTTTTCCATGAGTGCGAGAAGCCTGGCTGCAACAGGATGCACCCCCGGCAGCTCGGCACGAGCACTGAAGCTCAGCTCTTTACATAGCCTTTTCGCAGGAGCGGGGCCGTTCTGAGCCACTGGCTCAAACATGCTTCCCTGAATGAATTTCTTCACCTTTTCAACCATCTCAACGGCCACTTCTCCCTGTTGCTGGAGAATCTCCAACACCCCAGACAACGTGCACACAGAATGCAGGCGAATTCCACATTCCTCTAATCTGGCCTTCCCACCCTGCTCCCTGTCCAGCAGCACTATGGCATCTGTGACTTTTAATCCTTCTTTCTGAAGAACTTCCGCAGTTTCCAGTACACTAGATCCACTTGTTACCACATCTTCAATGATCAAGCATGTTTCTCCTGGATTAATGGTACCTTCCACCAGCCGCTTAGTACCTTAAAAATAAAAGGCAAACACTCCACTAAATGAAGAAAGTTTAAGAGACCAAAAAAACCCTTAAAAGTATCAAAACTTTCACTTGCTGTGCTAATACAAAGATCATATTTGTTCCACGTACAAGCATAAACCGCAGCATATCCTGAAGTCCAATGGAACTGGAATTCAAGAGAATAGGAATTTCACACTCAGTCAGTACACAGAGGTAATTTGTTTAGTTATTACCTGATACCAGTTATCACAATTCTTATCACAGCTCAGTCACTGACTTGTAATTCAATTCATAAAGACTGTTACTTCTCCAAGTGAATAAAATACTTCTCTGTTTCCAGGCGTTATGTTCCATTAACAAAACTGACATATTGTTAACTACACAAATTTTAATCTTTAGGTAAGATGACTACATAATTTTATTATCGCCATGAACTGAATGCTCAGAATTACAAACTGTTCTCTCCACTTATTTAAAACACCTTTAAAGCAGCCAAGTTGTTGGTAGTTCTTAGCGTATTTCCTAGAACAATTAGAAGGAGTAAAGCCCCAAATGCCTTTGCCCTAACCAACAACAGGCACACTTCCATGAAAGGCCTCCCATGAAAGGCCTCCTGGGGGCAACAACAAAGGCTGCCTAGCTTTCCCAGGAAGCAGTGAGCAGCAGGCAAATATTATGCTGTGAGTGCAATGCTTAGACCATGACAGCCTAGAGAAGGAGCATGTGTACAGTACAGCTTTGCATTCCATGTGACACCAAAAACCTTGTGCCAGGCAGTTAATTGCCGTCACAACTGACTTGTCCTTCACAAGAAGGAACAGCAAATGTTTTCACGTCTGGCACACTAACATAGGAATAACATTTAGTTGTGACAAGCATCCTTTCTAATTGAATAGTGTTGGAAGAGGGTAGCTTTTATCATATAGTGAAATCCAGTTGCTACAGTAGGTTAACGCTTCAGACTCTCTCCCCCTTGCCTCCACCAAAATCCAATGGGTAGAGAACTGAGTGCTTCTCACCTGGTCCACCTTGCCCACTGATTACAGGACTACAGGATTATGAAAGAAAAAAGGGTTTGAGAAGTAAATGAAGATAAGACCAGAAACTTCCTTTTAGACTTGATATACAAAAAGTCCCATTTGGGGTGAAACATGGCATTGGTCTCAGCATATTGGAGAAACCGAGTTATAAAGATCAGTTTCTAGAAAAGGCCAATAACCCTGAACTGCAGTAACGGTGCCAAGAAAAAAAGACGCTTCTGAAGCCAAAAAAGAGACAGAGCTCCCTCCCTCAAGTGTCTCCAAACCTACTACAGCAGGATTCAAGCTGCACCTTAATCAGCAAGCAGCTGGGAGAGCCTGACCAGGTTGGGATGCTGTGGGAAGTATCTTTTAGGGAAAAGGGGGCTACTTTTTCAATTGGTGTAGTAACTGGAATGAAGATGCTGCATATTACGAAAGAATCACAAAATATAAAGTCATTTCACAAACAAGACAACAAGCAGACACAAATTCTTGGGTTGAAGGTTTTACCATAGTCTTTTGCTTCCTTCCTCCGTATAAGCATTGGAATCTGATTTTCAGAGCAGATAATTGTGGCCAATGGCAGCGCTGTGTACGGCACGCCACACACGCAGTCATACTGGAGAGCAGCATCTTTGGCTGTTTGAAAGAGAAGATCTGCCACCTGAAAAGGAAAACCAAATAATTCTTTAAGAGTCAGACTGGACTGATCATCACTGAACACATCCATTACCAAGGGAAGCAATGCAAATATATGAAAACCTCTCTCCTTTACACCATTTGACAGCCGCTGTCCCTACAGCGAGCAGACAGCCCGACACCTCCACCCGGCGGGCTCCGGGCCAGCAGACCGCGG